GCAACAGGGTGAATTTCTCATTTTTGCCTTGATGTAACTGATTACCCAAAAGCCTGTAACCGGTTACACCCCCTCCAAAAGGTGCCATTTTTTTTTATTTTTTGAAGCATGTAACTGGTTACATCAGGTGAATTTGGCCAAAAACAGCAGATTTTCAGCACTGTAGCAATTTCACTCAAATTCATTTTTGCCCGGTGATTATTATTGCATCAGTAGAAGGATCTAGAGCAATTCAAATTCTAACTAACTCCATACCATATTTCAAACCTTATTCCATACTTAAATCCAATCCTCATTCAAAACCAATTTCCAAACCTCATTCTCATTTCATACCTAGACCATATTTAAACCAATTTCTCCCACTCCAAAAGGAACTCTCCACTCATTTTTATGATTTCTCCACACTTCACACTCCAATTCTCTCTCACTTTTTCACTCTCCATTTTCATTCTCATCCCTAACCTCACCAAAGCTTTTCCATTATAATCAACGAGTTCTTCATTGGAATTTGTTAATTCTAGAGCATTGACCTCCAACATTTCCTTTCATCAACATTAAATTCAGTAGTATAAGTTGATTTGGATCTAGATTTGAATTTTGGATGCAATTTCTTGAAGTGATTTTGAAGCAACTCTAGCTTATTGCATTATTCTTCAACTTTTCTTGTAGAGAATCTCATGAATCTCTAGTTTTCTTGATTACATCCACCATTTTATGTTTGCAACAATTACCAAAGCAAATCTCAACTTTGTAGACTGGTAATTCTTGGATCTAAACTTATTTTAGCTTATTTTGCAACTTTCATAATGTAAATCCTTGTAGTTTTTGTATGGATTCATCCATTGATTCAATTGGTTGATGATATTATTGTTTGATTGGTTTTGTTTGCTGTTGATTAATGTAATTTTTGTGTACAATTGCATGCCTTAACATGTTGCATTTGATCAATTAAGTGATTCTGAAAAGTGCTTCTGAATACTGATTTTCTGCAGTTTCTACAGGTTAATCAGTTACCACATATGGAGTAACCAGTTACACCCTTTGTTGCGCACCCAAAATTGTTTTTGTTCATGGTGTAACCGGTCACACCATTTCAGATAACCTGGCATAACTTGTGTTTTTGGCTTGTTTTTTGGGCTGTTTTGGGTCATCTTCTTTTTCTTTCTTCATGGATTGATATGGTGATTATTTGTTGATGTTTCTTGAGCTGTTTAGCCTCCATGTACCATGTTTACATGTATTCATGATCGATTTGCTTAATTAAACTTGTAACTATTCAATTGCATGCTTAGGTTAATTTTATCAATTGCATGTTAATGTTTGTCTAAATGTTGATCCATCTTGATGCATGATTATAATGATGTTTGCTTGATCTTGTGGATGCATGTTCATATGGCTTGGATTTTGTTGTCGCATGCTTGCTTGTTCAACTTTGTTGATAATGATTGTGATGCATGTTTGTACTTGCACGCTTGATCTTGTTAATTGCATGTTCATATCGTTTATCCTCAATGATTGATGTTGTTAGACTTTTCTTGTGCACGAGTTGACTGAATGTATAATATTGAGTCGTTGCTTTTCACTGCTGTGGTTGATCCAACGATGATCAAGTTGATGAGTTACTTTAAGGATGACAAGCATGTGTATCATTATTTGGATAATGTTAGAATATATGTCTATGAGGATAGGATTCAACTTCTAGAAGGTTTGGATATAAATAAGAATAAGATGAAGTTTATTGCTTCCTCTAATCACATTGGTTCATCTTCGTCTGCTTCGTCTCGCTTGTCTGATTGGTCGTTATCTGCTAAAGCCAAGGCATACCTTAATGACTTGGTTAGCAAGATTTTGGATGATTCTCAAGTTAGAGAGACTCGTCTTCATGTTCATATTTATATGTTTGCCAATGAAGCAAATAAAAGAAAAGAAGCGAAAGAAAGAGAATAGAAGATTCTAACTGAGTTTTTTGTTGCCAAAAGTTTCTTGAATCATCTTAAGGATTCCACTCTTGTGTTCAACTTGAACGATAGTGATGATACCTCTGCTCCCTAGCTCGATGTTTCACCTTAGACTACTCATGCATCATATCATGTCATATCATCACATGCACTTCATATTTATTTTGTTTGTTTCATTTTGTTATACTTATTTTGGTATCTTTTACTGTTTTGGATGTTATTCTGAATACTACTGAGTTCTGTGGCATGTTTGAGCCAGTATTATGATATGTTGATCTGTTTTTTATTCGTCTTTTTATCTTATATCTCTTATAATTTTCTGAAATTGCGCATGTTACATTTATGCATATGTAAAAGTTTCTGGTTCTGAAGTATTTTTAAAACTTCAGCATTGTTTATAGGTTTTATGATTAACATGGGTATTCACTTGAATTTTCTCTCTCTTTTTGATATTTGTCAAAGAGGGAGAAGTTGTCGAGATATTATCAATATTTATGCGCAATAAGTGTTTAATACAAGGGGAGCATGAGTGGTTAAGTTTCAAAGTGTATTCTATCATCATGTTGTGCCGATCAATAAAAACTAGAATTATGCGTTCAATATTACCTCAATTAATCGCTCAAATCAAATTACCAATAAATATTAAAATTTCCCAAACATAAAAAAGAGAGACTGAAATTGCAGTTTTCACTGGTATTATTTTAGTTTTATTTGTTTATAAATTTGTGTGTATAATGCTTTGTTTGATTTATCGCGTGTTTGTATTTTATGTATTATATGAATTTATTTTCAATGTTGTAGCTTTGTTGTTGTAATTCATTTTGAATACTATTTTGTATTCGTATTCATTCGCTTTGTCTATGTTTAGTCTCGTACCTTTGAGAAACCTCTTTATTCATTGGATTGGTTGTTGTGTCCATGATTTTGTCTCTTTTTTAGCCTACTTATTGGTTATATATCAATATAATGAGTATTATTTAAATCGCAAGTTATAACACTTGAATCATGACTATAAGGATGTATGATTAGAATCATACAAAGTTTGACTCGAATCATGAAGTTTCATGAAAGTTAGGATTTGAATCGGCCTCATTTGAGTCGAATCAAAAAAGAGTGTGCTTCGAGTCACATCTCATATTGACCTAAATCATGAGGTACGCATGATTCAAATCATGGTCTCTTTCCTTTCTTTCTAACCATTGAGTCAAGTTAATTGTTTCTTTGATTCAAATCATTACTTTATGATTTGGTAAAAACCTATTGTTTTAGTTGTTTTTAGTGAGTTTAGCATTTTGTGAAAGTGTGTCTACCTCTTGCACCTTTTTACTCTTTTTTCTCCTTTCTTTTTGTCATTAAGTGAGAGTGTATCACCCATGAGTGAAGGTTTCAGAAAAGCGTGATGAATCACCTCTCTTGGATGATTGTCATTTCTTTTTAGTAAAGAACAAGAAACCTGTAGAAAGTGACAAGGTTGATCAATAAATTAATATAATTAATCAATCTTATAACAACACCAAGAATCTAGAAACTTTTTTTACCAATAACCTAATGTATATTCTTCATTCAACAAGACCTAACTCCTTATTCATACCTTGTGATTAACCTCCTAGAATGTGGATCATGTGAGTTAGTTGTGTGTGTGAGATTCTTCGAATACTATTTATCATCTTTAACCTTTGTCAAGATCTATTTTTATGGACCTTGAACTCTGAGTATGGAAAGTAGACCAAAGGTACATTAAGGAATTTAATTTTTTCTTTAAAGTTGTGTTTTTGTGTATCAGGTGGAAGAATCATTTCTTGGATATGTATTTTAGTTGTGTTGCTTACAAAGAATGAAGAGTGTCTTCATATACCATTGAAGACTTTGGTGAAATATTGTGAAGGTTGTTGTAGAATAAAGTTAGGAGTTATCCCATTGATCAAAGCTAATGGCAATCGCTCAGACAATTCTTCGTCATATTCAAGGGAAGAATGTTACAGAAAGGAAGCATGGAGCAAGCTATTATGGATGGAAAGATTATTGGATTAATATTATTAAGGATCTTGTGTGTAGCAGTTGAGTATCTGCATCAACAAAAGAAATTGTCATTGATCCGTCGTAGGCTAATGTAGTGTGGCTATTAGCATTTAGTTTATGATAGTTTGTTGTATCAAAATACTTGTATATTAACTCTTGAAAATAGTGGAACACCTGATTATTTTTTTTCCAAATGCTTTCAAACAATTAAGAGTGGAGTAAGTATAGCGAGGACGATTGTCGAACCACCATATATATCTTTGTACTCCTTTTCTGCCCTATATCTCTTTAATTTTTGTCATTCATCATATAATAGTTGAATCATAGCATAATTTATATATCATTTAGATTAGACCTTGTTTGTAGTGATTTATTATATAATCATAGGTTTGTGTTGCATCAAACTTATTGAATCATGCTTAAGGTGATTGTGACAAACTACATGTTTAAGTTGAGACATTAAATTTCTAGAATTATCCTAGTTAACTTAAGTCCTTGTTTGATCATACTCTTAGCAATAATGTTGAAATACATTGATACGAATTCATATTGATGAGATCTCATGCTTCCCTTTTATCTTGTTTTAGCTTCCGCATATTAAATTCTGATTTTAGTATTGAAAGTTTTAAAATCGTTTTAAAGAGGAGATTGGTCTATTCAACTCTCTTTCTAAACTGTTTTCTATTTATATTTCTAACCAATAGACTCTGGACTGAAATATTTTACCTTAATCAATTCACCCTTTCAGACCATGTGTTTGAGAAAACGTGGACTAAGATATCTTAGATAGAAACTCAAAGGACTTGGCCCACCAACTCCTAGAGATTGAATTCATTGTGTACGCATTCTGAATCCTAGAGCTTTGAAAAGGTTGTGACCAAAACATGCCCAAGAAAGTTATCAGAGATTTGCTAGAAAAAGATCATTGTTCACTGCTAATATAAATGTATGCCAAATGTTAAAAATCAACCTTCCACAATTTTAATGTTTTCATTTTAATGTGTATTAAGTACAAGCTAATAGCTACTGAGAATAAATAGCATTAGTAGGTTCGGTAGTAAGGCCAAACCCAAATGCAAAAAGAGGATCATAATGAGCATCTCCAACATTCATTGGAAGTTGATCAACACTTTTGAACCATGTTCTTGGAAGCTTTCCTGTGAAACCATACTCACCAAACAAAACATCAGCCACACCTTGTCCTTCACTACCTGGTAGCCAACCAGCAACAACTGCATCCATCAAACCAACATATGGTTCGATAACCAAAGGCCGGCCGGAGATAATCACAACCGCACATTCTATAGCTCCACAGACATTTGTTATGGTCTCAGGACCAGGGTTCGGAATTGTCAAGTTCATGTTGTCACCATGCATTTCAGCATAAGGTTTCTCTCCTACTACGACTATAGCGTAGGAAAAACCATTGGATTTAACAAATTCTATATCAGGGTTCTCCTCGTAGATCACTATCGTCTCTGGATCAACCGTGTTCTTTATAGCATCGAGAATTGTAGTCCCTGATCATATCAAGAATGTTCACAAGAATAAGGATCGATGATAACTACGAGTTATATATGATTAAAATCAAACATTTTTAATGATCTAACCAATATGTCTGGTTGACATTGTAAAACGTTTTTATAGCGACCGTACATATCAATCAAAATGAATCATACCTTCGAGAATATCGTTGCCACTGACTCCTTGCCATTCAAGGGTCCAGCCACCACACTGATATCCTAGATTATTTGCATGGCTTCCGGCCACAAGAATTTTCGGAACCTTTTTAGGAAGTGGTAGCAAAGGCTTTTCATCAGATTTGCCATTTTTAAGAAGAACCATGGATTTCCTTACAGCTTCTCTAGCAAGTTCTCTATGCTCCTGTTCAGAATTTGAATAAGCATAGAAGAGATGATTATAAGTTATATTAAGTTGTTACCTTAATGAAGCTAAAGGAAAATAGCAAACCTTAGTCCCAAGATAATTAACCAAACTATAATCAGCAAAAGGGTTCTCGAAAATTCCCATCATGAATTTAACGCGCAAAATTCTTCTCACAGCATCATCAATTCGACTCATAGGAATGACTTCATTTTTCACCAATGTTGTTAGATCGTCAATGAATTCCTTGTAGTATTTTGGAACCATGAACTGCATAATCCAAACCCGGGTAAAATTTGTAAAATGTATTAAAATATTTTTTTCATTTTATGAACATTGATTCAAGCATATATATTGTATACTTTTAGTCCTTAAATTACCATGTCAATGCCGGCGGAAACTCCTGCTTGAAGTGAAGAAGTGCAGTTTGCACGATGCGGAGTGGTGATCCTGTCAATACCCTCAAAATCTGAAATGACAAAGCCCTGTCATAATTGAAGAAAATGTTAGACGTTAGTCTTTGAAATTTTCCGTACATGGAGATCTCGAGTTTTCAACTGTTGAACAAATTATCTTTACCTGGAAATGGAGAGTATTTTTGAGGAAACTAGTAATAAGATCATGATGAGTATGCATTTTTACACCATTCCAACTTGAGTAAGATACCATAACAGTTGCCACACCCTTGTTAATGGAGCTCAAGTACCCTGGCATGTGAATTTCCATCAATCCATTTTGATCTATAACAGTGTTACTCTCATCAATCCCATCAACCGTTCCACCGTCACCAACGTAGTGTTTAGCACAAGCTAGAACCTTTTCCCTGTCCAGCAGTACAAGAGCATTTCAGAAACTTAACACTCTAACAAAGCCAAAATCAATAGCATGACACTGACACGTGGACACGACTAATAAGTGTTTTGTTTTTCTAGACGCGTACTTTCCAGCAATAAAAGGAACACCATTTGGAATATTATCAGGAATGTCCCCTTGCAATCCTGATATGATATCAGTCATAGCTTGAACCACTTTAGGATCTTCGCTGTAGCTTTCATAACACCGACCCCATCTTGGATCTCTACAGACCTATCAAGAATATAAAACAACTCTAAAATCTCAGTAAAAATTGATAGCATTCGAAATCGGAGACATTTACTTACTGCTACACAAGGTGCATAAGCATACTGAATTCCCGTTGCTCTAACTTCAAGTGCAGTTGCAGCTCCAATTCTCTTGACTAGTTCAGGGTCCCTAGCAGTAAAATCGAAACATCCACTATCATCACTTATAAGAACAACATTATTATTGACTTGAATAAGCAATAGAATAAAAATTACCTGGTAGCTCCAAGGCCAATATTGTGAGGAAAAATAGTTGCGTTGTAAACCGTGCTGTGGCCATGAACAGCATCAATCCCATAAAAAACCGGAATTCCAAGCCTTGTTGATAAAGCATCCTTCTGAAACTCATTCAACATATCAATCCAGTTTTCAGCAGAAGCCATTGGAACTGGAATACTCCCTCCCTCACTCATAACACTCCCTAATCAAAACATAACTATTTACCATTAGTGCCTAATTGAATCAATATAGTTGCGCTCCGAAAAATTCGTTATCTTTACCTATGAAATAGTTTTTGAGCACATTATCAGATGCGTACTTGCGCTCGATCTGTAACATTTGACCGATTTTCTCCTGGAGTGTCATCCTGTTAAGAAGATCCTCAACCCTAACATCATTTGATTCTTTAGGGTTCTTGTACTTCATCATGTCTTCTGCGTCCAATAAACCAGCACTATTACTTAATAGACAAAATCCTAACAAAAAGAAGGGAATTTTAGCCATTTTAGCACCTCCTATGTAGTGAATCTATTTCAACAGGCTTTGTAAAACTCTGATCATAGAAATGAGGTTCATTATCATTATGTATTGTGATGAAGCTTCTTTATCATTGAAGAAGAAGTAACAGAATGAAGAATGAAAAATGAAGAAGAAGAATAGAAAAGGATAGCTTCATTAATTGCACATGTGGGTGATTACAAGTCTTATATAGTACAACCTTATCAAATAACAACCAATCAAATAACAAGTTTAACTAACTAATAACAACCTAATCAATAACAGTCTTATCAACAATATTAACTAATCTAATCCAAAGATTAAAATAGCTAATCTTAACATTATGCAATACAATGAAGAACACAAAACAAAAATGACTCACAATGTCCACTACTTAGAACCATGTATAGACTTATAGAACAAGAGATCACCTTGACTTTTCAATGCCACTATGCATAGAATAAAGTAATAACCATCATCACCAAATGCTGAAACGGATGAAATATATTTTATGTGAAATCATAGAGATTTGAATAATAGCCTAATCATTGTAACAAGTGGGGACATGAGTTACCTTGGAAGCAACTCCAATTCCAAAAATGCAATTAAAAAATGCAGTGGATAACAAAGTAAGATCTTTGGGGATACGATAAAGATAGCATTATTAGATAATGTAATAAAATATGAAATTGAAAGAGAAAGGATAACATTTTTTTATGATATCTATTAGAATTGGGTAACATTTTTCTATTTTTAGATGACAATGTCGTTGCCCGTTCCAACTAGTTAGGTACCAAACAAGTGAGGTGTAACCATCGAAGTAATCTTTTATGTCATCTAGTATTAAATATTGTATATCATAATTTTGGCATCTTTATAGATTGCGACATAATTTTGACAAATCAAATGACAAGTGGTTATTGTGCAAGAGTTTTCATGATTCATCGACTTTAAGAGAATTATGATCACTATTATAAGCATATTTAATAGTTTATTCAACAATTAATGTTTGAGTTTTATGATTCTCTCTAGTGAAGATTTTAACCTTTAAAATTTTATCATTTATGTTTTTGATTTTTATTGACACATGGCGCAGCAATATTAAACCATGATGGAATGGAAATATTGAAGATAGTACATAGGAAAGATAATGAAAAATATTATTGCTTCAAGTAGTTTGTATTGAAGAAATTACATTATATTTATAACATTGACATAAATGCAAAAAAGACTAAAAAAAGGTAATGGCTCAAAACATAAAACATAAAACAAGAGAAGAAGACTAGTTATTGAGCCTAATGATATTGGACTTATGAATTTCAATAGGCTCTCTCAAACTGGATTGTATGTTCAACAGTGCAAGTTTGGAAACACAATTTTGAAAAGGTCTTAGGTGCAGAGCTTTAGGGAATAAGTCTACAACTTGGTTGGTTGTATTAATAGGCATAAGATGAATTGTCTTGCCTTGTAATTTGTCATGAACAATATGTCAGTCCATCTCGTTGTGCTTCGTTCGCTCGTGAAAAATAGAATTGGTGGCAATTTATATTGTGCTTTGGTTGTCGCAATAAAGAGTGATAGGAAAAGGGTGAGGGATTTTGAAGTCTTGAAGAAGGTAGAGCGACCATTGGACTTCACACATTGTGTTTGGAAGATCTGCAAGTCAGTGGACAGGAGGCCCGATCAAAGTCAGCAAACCCAATTAGTTTGAAAGAGGATCCACGCTTAAAGAATAGTCCAAGTGTTGGTGCGTTTGTAAGATAATGAACAATCATGTGTGTTGCAGTAAGGTGAACTTGAGTAGCCATGACAAGGTATTGGCTCAACCTGCAAATAGAAAAAACGATATCAGGCCGTGAATGTGTTAAATATAGTAACTTTCCTATGATGCTTCTGAAGGTGGAAGGATCAGTCAGGGCAGAAGCAGCGGGGTCATCAAGTTGTTGCTTGGAATCCATGGGAGTTGATGAAGGTTTAGCACCCGAAGGTCATTTTCTTGCAGCAAGTCAAAGAAGTACTTGCGTTGACAAAGTGTAAGGCTTGCTAAAGAGTGAGCGATTTCAAACTGAAGGAAGTAGTGTAAAAAACTAAGATCCTTGATGCTGAACTTGGTGTCGAGAAGTTGTTCAGAGGTATTGATTTCAACAATTGAAGTGCCTGCAAGTATTAAATCATCAACGTATACAAGTATAACAGTGAAACAGTCAACACTCGATTTGATGAAAAGAGAATAATCTGATTTGGATTGGGAGAATCCAATATTAAGAAGAGTGTGAGATAGTTTTTTTACTCCATTAGTGACTGGCCTGTTTAAGGCCATAAATAGATTTCTTAAGTGTATAAACCATGTTAGGAGGGACATTGAGTCCAGGGGAGATTTCATATAAACCTCTTCATCAAGATCCCCATGTAAAAAAGCAGTATTTGTGTCTAATTGGTAAAGGTGCGAGTTAGCAAAAATAGCAATGGACAACAAGATTTGTATGGTGGTCATTTTAATTAGAAGACTGAATGTTTCTAAATAGTCAAGGTCTTCGGTTTGATTGAAGCCTTTTGCAACAAACCGAGCTTTATATCGCTCAATAGTGCCATTGGGAAGGTATTTTAGTTTGAAAATCCATTTACATCCTATGGCACGTTTTTTGGGGGTAAGGATGTAATATCCCAAGTGCTGGTGCTATTGAGGGATTGAAGCATAGAGGGAATAACATGATGTCAATTGGGATTTGTTCTGGATTGGGACAGAGGTTGGCCCACCATCGAGCATGACCCAACCCAACTCCCCGTCGGGGAGGGTCCAATGAAAGCTCAAGCCTCCAACGCCCACAGGGAGCTCTCACATGTCTCCCCCTCCTCCACGATCCCCACGTGCCCCTATGCGGGAACACATCATCATGCAATTACCCATCTATGGAAGGTCACGGGGCATCTGACCCGGGGCGAAGACTGCGTGCTGGTCTTCCCTACGCCATGTAAGTCCTGACAGTTACTCGTATTGGGCCTTACAATCCAACCCAGTGCAAAGTAACCGTTGGTCCAGCGCTAGGGGTACATTATAAATACCCTCTTTCATTAGAGGGTCATGTATTCGATTCTCTGCACACTTTCTCTGTACTTGCTCTTTCTACTTCGTCTCTTACTTTAGCATCAGAGTACCTTGCAGCTACACCCCCTCCTCTTCTCCACCACCGGCGAACTAAGGAGCTCACGATGTGTTACTTCCTGCTGATTCTTTTCTGATCCGATAAGATCAGTGGTGTCTTCTGTGGGAAACTTCCTTCCTCGTTCTTCCTTCTGAAAGAAATCCAAGAACCAAAGCATAACTCAGCCTTCGTTGATCATGGCAATCCCATGCGATAACAACAACATACATGAAATGCCTTCACCCCATTCACCAAGGCGACGATCGTGATCCCAAAGTGACTGTTCACATCAAGGAAGGAGGCACTAGGGACGGGCACACCACCTCTCCCTCCCTTGATGATGTGGCCTACGACGCGGCCCAACGCCTTGACAACCCAGCTGTCTTCCAACAAATTCATGTGTTGCCCAACACCGACCCGACCATGGTGGCTCTCTTTGCAGGAATCAATCAAACAAACCCGATGATTTTCCAACAGAACGAGCAGATAGAAATGTTGGAGAAAGACCGACAATCACGCTTTCCCCTGCGGAGACATTGTCGTATGGTTTCTCGTAGCCCGTCCCTGCGACGAAGAGAAACACGTCCTTCACCTCCCCTGCGGAGGCTACACCATGATATATCTCGGAGTCCCTCTCTGCAATAGGTCGGCATCGTCCGCGACTGGAACAACTACAACCCATGGCCACCCAGAAGCGTGATTGTTCTCCTCCCTAGAAGGAGTGACATTCCCTAACTTCTAAGGGTCTGTTTGGTTCAACGGAGGGGAGGGGAGGGGAGGTATTTTAATAAAGGGGAGGGGAGGGGAGGGAAGGGGAGGGGAGGTATTTTAACTAATGTATGTTTGGTTCAAAGAAAGGGAGGGGAGGGGAGGGGAGGGATTTTTAACTACATATATGTTTGGTTCACAAGGGGAGGGGAGGGATTTTAAAACCAAATTACATTTTTATCCTTACGAATATCATCACTTGTGTTTAGTAACACTAAAAACAATACTAGATAAAAATAGTTTTGAGTAAATTTCACCAAATAAAAACTTGGTCATTCATAAACAACACAAATTAAAACAAAATATTCAAAAAAACATATTAAAATGTAAGCAAAATATTCAGAACATATTAAATTGTAAATAAAATATTCATAAAAGTCATAAGAACTAAAATTCAAAAGGCATAAAATTTCATATATCTAAAAGTTTTAAGATCTAATTGATTAAAAAAATCTCATTAGCTAAAAATTGACATTCTTATTCAACTTTTCTAACTAAATATAAAAATTAAATAAGTTCCAACTAAATATAAGAAATAAATAAATTTAATTCTTGATTCTTTAGTTATAAATAAAAATAATAATATTATGTAGAGTTGATACTCAATATACTTTGGACTTTTTACTCTTTATTATTAATATATATTACTATTTTTTAAAAAATAATTTAGTAAATTTGATGTTTAAATCATCCATCACTAATATTTAATTACTCAATAAGGACAACCATGGAATTAAAAAAATAATTATGGTTAAATTAGGGAATATAATAAAATTATAAATAATAAATCTTCCCTCCCCTCCAAATCCCCCCAATTTGAGGGGGAGCAAAATATGAGTCTAGGAGGGATTTTGCTCCCCTCCCCTCCCCTTATAAAAAATGAACCAAACACAAATATTTATAAATATCCCCTCTCCTCCCCTCCATCTACCTCCAACCAAACAGACCCTAAGAGAAACAGAGCTGAAGGGAAATATGGAAAGCCGAAGAGCCGCCCGAGGAGCCCTCCACGCTGCCAAAGCCCTCGGTACAACCCGTCCCTCTCGCAATCGCCCGTCAGAAGCGACGAGGACGACCCCTGCACTATGTTATCCA